ATTCAGTTTCCCTACCATCTCAAATCATACTTTGAAACAACGAAGGGCTAATGGATCACTGACTCACTCCTGCTGCATGCAAGACACAGGCAACAAGTAGGGTTGTCAGCAGGGGTCATTTCGTAGAAAAAGAGCTAGGGGAACTCATTAGCATAACTCATTAGCATGTGCCACACCCCCTGACATCAGGGGCCCGGCGGTGGACCTGCAAGGCCAGCGGGAGTGCGAGGAAGCCCCACCAAGGCCCTCCCTGTCCCCAGGCAGTCAGGGGTGGGGAGAGGCGAGGAGGAAGCAACTTACCCTCCCTCTTCTCCTGCCTCCTCCTGGCTGAAGGAGGGCTGGAAGCAGGGCGGCCGGAAGCAGGGGGCGGGGCTTCATCATGTGCCCCGCCCCCCTGCACCTCACCCGGGGGAACTGCGTTCCCCCGCGTTCCCCCCGAAATGACCTCTGGTTGTCAGTCCCCAGTTGGAGATGGGGGATCCCCCAGTTTTACAGGCTCCTGGACGGCGGGAGGAAACTCCCCCAACAGCGACATGGAGTGACGTGCCAATGTCAGCGATGACACTGGGGGTGGGGGGAGCGCTCTGGTTTTGGGGCAAAAGTCTATGGTTTGAGAGCAATTTTACCATAGAGTTTTGCCCAAAAACCAGAGTGTCACCCCTGACATATCTATGTCACTTCCAGGTGACGCAGACATGGCACGCGATGTCACCTCTGGTGACGGCAGCACGCTGGGGGTGATGCTTCTGGCTCCCGGAGCATCCCTCCATCCCCCAACAGTGTCTCAAAGGGACCTGGCAACCCTGGCAACAAGACTTTTAAAGTCCCCGAGCCTCTCCCTGGTGCACCTCACCTAATGCCTGATCAAAGCTCCCACTGCTGTTGACATTGAGATTGTTTACAACAATATATTATAGAAAAACATAGAAAATGTACCCTAAAACCATCAACAAAATCCAGCAGTCAATTTCTGTGAGACATCAGGCAGTCAAAGGCAGAAAGGACAGGCACTTAACCCCCAACTTGGATAAAAATAAAGGGGGGGAAACTTTCACCTGGCGCCTATAGCTTGATGCCAGGAAAAATGCTTGGAGATAGTTTTAGGAACAGTCAGAGGCAGTAAGTCTCTGTATATCAATGCTAGGAGGCAACATCGGGGAAGGCCTTGGCTTCTGTGCCATTTGTTGACCTTCCAGGACAATTGGTTGGCTGCTGTATGAAAGGTTGCTGGAGCAGATGGATCCCTGGTCTGATCCAGCATAAATCTTTTTTATGTTCTATGTCCCACAGTTAAGGCACCACCACTGAAAAGGCCCTGTCCTCACTCCTGACAGTTGATGGAAGGGGACATAGAGCAGGCAGGCTCATATGGGAGCAAGCTATTTTAAACACAGTCCTGTATGGCTTGGGCCCAGAGGGGAATTGGAAATAAACCCTACAAGGCTCACCCAGTCAGCAACCTGGAGGCAGAGGCATTTTGCAGGAGAGAATCAGCAGGTGTGGGAAGGTTCTTCCCCATGCAAAATACAATCTGACATACACAGAAGACTATGACAAACAGATCCAAGGCCAACCCTTTTTCCTTTTTCCCCTTTATCTGCCAATCCCCTTTGTACACTGGAGAAGCCATAAGTAGCCAATCAGGGCCTGTGAAACCCTAAGATGGATAGGAGAAGGGAGATGGAGGAGTAAAAAGGAGTGGTTTAACCGTTGTTCTGTCAGATAGTGTTTAGAAGTCCTACAGGCAGTTAAGGTTAGCTCTTGTAGCCTCTTCAGGAAGAAGCAGATCTGTGATTGCCAGGAGGGGCACATTGGGTCTAAAACTTAGCCTTCCTGGGCACTGGGAAGCTAAAGGGCAGACTTGGGTCTGTGTGGTATAAACATCTGTAATCTTTCACTAAGATTTGGAAAACCTGAGGGAAACTTGTCTATTCATATGGTAGCCAGAAACTGTCAGTCTCTCAATCAGAAACATTATATTCTAAAATGAAACTGTTTCTCTAAGCTAAGTCTCTCTCATGGTTACAAGTATACACTGTTTATTCTTTATTGTGGAAAAAATTCTGTCTCCTTTCAGGGAGACAGACAAAGCGCTCATGAGCAGACAAGGTTATCCCATCTTAAAGACCGAGGCAGGGGTGAGGTGAAGTGCCTGTGTATTTAACAATTCTCTTGTTCTCATCAGCTCACGAAGGCAGGGGGAGTGATTCTACACTGCCTAGCTATTCTCCCGAGCGCCCCTGTATTCCAGGCCATGGTAACGTGTATCTCTTCCGTACTGTTGAATGCATTTTGTTGAATTCAGCGTACAGACACATAAATTTAAAATCCAAGAAAGGAGTTAACCAGATCAAGGTGCTGGAGAAGAATGAAGCAATACAGCAGGTTGATGCACATGGCACGTGGCAGGTTGTAAAGAATGTCCACTGCCTGAAAGAGACTAGAGGGGAGAGGTGAGAAGCCAGATGGGTTTTGAAATGAAATCTTTTATGGGATGGGAGCACATCCAGCCTGTGCTGAAGGCGTTGCACTGGCTGCCAATAGCATACTGAATTCGCTTCAAGGTGCTGGTGCTTACCTTTAAAGTCCTATATGGCCAGGGTCTGACATACCTGAGGGATCGCCTTTCCCCATATATACCCCAGAGAGCACTGAGGTCGGGGTCCCAGAATCAACTGACTGCTCCGGGCCCCAAGGATGCCAGGCTCGCCACCACTAGGGCCAGGGCTTTCTCGGTGGCGGCTCCGTACTGGTGGAACGAGCTCCCGGAAGAGATCAGGGCCCTGCGGGATCTTGTGCAGTTCCATAGGGTCTGCAAGACGGAGCTCTTCCACCAGGCTTTCAACTAGGAGCCGCCCCCACTACTACCAACGAGCTGGCCGATAGTTTTAACATCTGGCCTCCACCACTGTGCTCAGGAAGACCACTGAGTGGCAAACTGTTTGGCTGTATGGTATTTCCAGCTTGCCATCTTACGTACCCAATGTATCGGCATTAGCACTTTATAAGTTTATGTTTTACTGTATTTGAAATTGTTTTTATGTGAATTAATGGTCATTATAGACCAATTATGTAAGCCGCCCTGAGCCTGCTCGCGGGGAGGGCAGGGTATAAATTAAATAAAATAAATAAATAAAATGATAGTAAAGGGTCTTTTGCAGGTATGAAGTTAGCAGCAACACTGCTTAGTTTTCTTTTCATGTTGAAAAAGGCCTGCGAAACTACATGTAAAATTTAGGGTCTTAAAAAAGCATTCCCATCTCCTTTCCATCCCCAACTTTATGCCAGTTTTATTAGACAAGAACGGGTAAGTCAAAATGACTGGTCCAGGTTGATGGGAAAGGAATGAGCTACAAAAAGTGAGAACTCCTCTCCCAGGAAGGAAGTCTTTTGGCTATCAGATCAAAATAACCAAGGCACTGTGGGAAACTGGGAGCAAGGGGAGTTCTGTGTGTTGGGATTCACTAGAGCCTCCAAAGATGGCAAAAAGAACAGAGCCGACACAACATACTGTCATCCTAGAACTGCTTATATTCCATGAGGACGCTTTTGAAAATTTTCTTTAAAAACCATCAACATATAAAAAAATTAGTTGTGTAAATATAATAGAAGATCAGGCAATTATGGCACAATGGACTTGCGAACACAGAAGACAGAAGAATGGAAAGTGATAGAGCGTTTCTATTAATTAAGTAATTGGATATAAGCATATAATGTAACTGTACTCTTGGTATACATGTTATGTGTAGTAGAGTGTCTGTTTGTAGTGTGTAGATTTGTTTGTTGTAGATTATAAAAGAAAAATTAATAAAAGTGTACCTACGGGTACTTAAAAAAAGAAATTAGTTGTGTAGTACATTAAACAGATTTATTGTGCTGTAAGAGTTCACAAGCTAGAGTCCATGGATGCTACAAAGAAGTCTGCTTGTTGCACAAACTCCTGTGTGGCTGTACAGATTTTAGAAAGTGTGCGTGACAACTTTTTTCTTCTTCTTCGGGTGGTGGTGGTGTATATTTACGGTTATTGAAGGAATTTTATATTTCAACTGTTGTTAGCTGGCTTGGGAGTCCAGCATATTGAAAAGGAAGGACACATTTCTAATGACTAAAACTGAAAAAGAACGGCACCATTGCGTGCTGGCGCAAAGCTTCCCCCATCACCTGTTACAAAGCAGTGGGATACTCGTGCAAGAAACTTCTCACTGGCAACCGCATAATTGTTACTTACTTATTTATTTTATTTATTTATTAGATTTATATCCCACCCTCCCCACCCTATGGTGGGCTCAGGGAGGCTAACAACATATATATCAATATATACGTTAAAACTCCATAATACACATAAATAACATCAATTAAAATTACAGGATAAAACATAGCAGCTCAGCACGTGCTGTAATGAAAGATGGTGATGTTCTGCCTTGTGGGCTAAAACAGACTTGCAGGCTATTTTAAGCAACCATGGGAAGAATGTTCTTAAGAATCAGCCTGGCTTACCCCCTGCCCTCTGATGTTCCGCTCCCTTTCCTTGTGAAGTTTGGTAGGATGCTGGACCTCCTTGCCTGCAGCACCTTGCATGTTGAGCTCGGTCCCTAAATAGGCCCTCCCTCCTGACGGAAGCCCAGTCTCTGACTTGAGGAGAACAGCCAAGGTTTTCTATAAACAACGTCCTGGATGAATTTTTCTTGCCACCGTTCCCAATTAACAATGCGGGTGTATCACTGTTTTTATACGATGGCTTTTACTTCAATATTGTGTTTTTAACGTTTTGTGACTAGCCTCGCAGATTAAAAGAAAGACAGCCATTTATTTTCATTTTAAAAAATATTTTCAAATGGGTGGTAGGGAAAAACCCATGTACTTTCTGCATTAGTTTTGTACTGGTATCTTTCGTTTGCCGATGCAGCAAAGCAGCTTAGACAGTGTTAAAAACACATTCGACAAATTAATCAAAAGCTAATAGCCAGGATGGCTAAACAGCACTTCCGGGTTCAGAGGCACGGTATCTCTGAATTAGCAAGGCTGCTATGTTAAGCATCTTCCGCACATGATCTGGGACATATAACTGGCCACCATGGGAAATAGGACACTGGCCTAGACAGACCCTTGGTCAGATCCAGCAGGAGTGTTCTTAGTTTTTAAGCATCATGTGTATATTTCAATCCTGAATACTGAATTTTTTTTTAAAAAAATCCTACCTGTCATGCCTTAGGGCCCTCATGTCAACATACACAGTGGTTGGATCTGGCCCCGATGTCCCCTATAAAAGAACAACTTTCAGTTAGAACTCTCGTCTAGAGCCGGTGTCTGCATGCTTTGATAAATGGTGGGGGGGAAACACACACAAAAACCCCTGTATTATACTTACCATTGAAGTTAAGAATAGAAAACCCATATTGTTACCACTGATCAAAACAGTTAATACATTAATTCCAGAGTGTGGGATTGGGACAGAAAATTAATCATCTTCCTGGGCACATTCATTAACCTTTTAGTACAAATATAAACTAGCAATTGCCTCTTTTACCGAAAACTAGTGTCAACAGAAACTTGACACTAGTGAGAGGCTCATACAGCACATATCTACATAGTGACACATGACGCATTTGGTAAAACAAAAGGATACAGGAACAGCTGAAGAGACGCAGTTGGCAATGGCAGAAGCAAGTGAAAAAGGAAAAAGGTTGCGCTTGTTGAGACTCAAACATACGCAAAAGATTTATTTAAAGTAAATGGTATTAAAAAGGGCAGGAGGCATGACACTAGCTGATATGGACTGAAGAGACATATAAGCAGTTATTCTTTTCCTTCATCATTAAAAAAACACCACATTCCATTTGTTATTTTTCATGTCTGTTCTTCTAAAAGTACACCACTTCATCTGATATTTAAAATGGGCAGGCGTCTCTGTGGATGAAGAAATCAGCAAAACGAGGCTCTATATTCTCACGGCAAACCCCCAGGTATGCAGAAAAAAATATGGCTATGTGAGTTAACCAAAAGGTAAAACAAAACAAAACCCTAGAAATGGCCCGATGATGCAAAGGCACATCCAGAAGTTCCAGAAAGGATGGGATGCTGAGATCAGCTGAGGGTGAGTGAAAGGGAAAAAACGGGAAGGAGGAAGGTGTCGGCCAGCTCAAGTCTCTGGGAGCCTAGTAAATCTTGCAAGGGGGTGCTTTCGGGGCAGGGTTTCCAAATTGTTTATCCTTCTCCTCTCATGAGGCTTTGCAGTGTTCCCAGCTTCTAGTCTGTTCGTAAAACACCAAAGCTGCTCATCTAACAGATGTGCCCACCTATGTCCACTTCACCCTTGAACCCATCATAGTCCCCCCCCCCCCATCAAGTGCTTAAGCGCTTCAGTGTTCTTCCTGACTTCAAGGTTCTGCGGCATGCCTCACTGCTTGCCTGGCAGAACACTAGAAGACCATTATTTACATGCAGGAATAAGTACCATCACCATGATTTCCACAGGTATGACAAGTAAAGCACTGGTTTCTAACCAGCTTCAGGATTCCACGATAGCTTGGCAACCTTCTGGGTCAACAACCGATGGGCAAGTCATACAAGATTTCTGTGTGTGTGTGTGCGCGCGTGTGCACATATTGGACCAGCCCAGTCTTGCTAACCAGAATCTCATGACCGAGACTGAAGGGAAAGCCAAAAGGGACACATGAGGGACTTCTGGAATGGTGATCAATTGGCACACAGTGAGGGTTAAAGAGAACATATAGCAGCCTTTCTGGGTTCCTGCTGTACTTGCTGGCAGTTCATTTGCCCTGGACTCCTTTTCAGTACAGGTCAGTTCTATGACACCACAGAGGGCAAGAAGCACATCTAAACAATGAAACATTTACTGCACACTGATGAGCACCCCACCACCAAGACAGCCAAGAGAGAGCTACAAGAGCCGCAACATGCATAATTAGCCTTCTTCTGTTTGGTGAAAGCTAAAAACCCACAAGACACAAAATCCTACCTAGTGGCTTACAGGGTGTGGTTCCCAATGCGCTAATAGACTCAGCAGTGTAACAGACTAGCTCGGAGTGGAGAAGCTCATTTCAAGCATCGTTAATTTGGGGGAAGGGGGAGAGAGGGGGGGGGATCTATAAATATTACCTTAGGAAATGTTTTCATAGTTGACCAGACCCAATTTATAAAATCAATAGAACCAGTTTGAACATTAAAGCTACACTGAGTTCTGTGTGTGTGTGTGTGTGTGTGTTTTAACTTCACTGTTAAATGAACTGACAGATTTTGGATAGAAGTCTGTATCCCACAAACTCTATAGATGGGGGTTTCCTTCCTACCCCACGGCCAGTCCTGCAGGATTTGCAGACTGCACCGCCCCCGCAAAAAGTCTCCGGCCTCTTATCTAGTCTGTCCCACTGTTAGGAGCGGAGAAGTAGAGGTTTTTGAGGGTACATGAAAATCCCCTACCTGCTCGGCCAGTTTCCCCAGCCTGTGTGGCTACAGCGGCAGGAACAAGAAGGATGTGGGAGGAGAAGGAAAGACAGAAACACATTGGGGGGTGAGGTGGGGAGTAAAAATGGGAATGGAAATTGGGAGGGAAACCAAAGGATAAATGCAAAAAGTGGGGAGTAAAATAAAAAGGGGAAAAGATCATGTCAAATAACACGAATCTTACAAATTAAACCATTATACCCATTAAAGGTTTAGAAAGAAAAAAAATGAGGTGTCAACCTTTTGATAGTGCAAACAGATGAGACAGTCATAGACTTGCTAACTTCTAACAGACAAACAAGAGTTAAGCGATTTATAAGACTGTATAGACAGCGTGGTTAGTGGACAGCAAATACAAGTTCCCATGCAACCTGTTAAGCCAAGCCCGAGGAAAATTCTACCGCCTAGCTCAGTTCTTCTGATGCAGAGGCACACTCGTACTCCTTCCCTCAAAAGTTTGCTTTTAAAACATCTTATTTTCAGAGCATCCTAAGCCTCGGAGTTTCTGCATATGTTTCGCTATCTCCCACAGCCAAGGCAAAAAAAAAAAAAAGACAAAAGAAGCAAAATCATGCTTCTATGACTAGAAGGAATCCTCAGAACAGTAAAGCATACAGAGATGCAATGGGCAGCCTCTTCTGATGACTGGTACTCTAGACTCAAAGGTACATTTTTTCTTTAAAAAGGTCTGTTTCTTGTGGAACACTCGCATGGCCCTGCACAAAATCCAGAAATTACCAGCCAAGCAAGTTTAAGAAACATGTTAGTTAATAATCAGAGGTTTTCAAGCTATCCTATGGTTCTTGCAAAGAACATTTTAGGTAACTCCTTGTTCTCCTGAAGCATTAAGAAAAGCTGTATAGCTCTGCACAATGTGGCTGTAACAAAAAGCATACTTATACTGTTCTCTCCTCCCCAAAATCTGTACCTGGTATTGAATAAAAATCAAGATTTCTTTGTACAGTCTAGTTACCAGAAGATCAAAATTAAGCTATAGAATTGAACACCCCTGGATTATTCTGCATTTGACTGCTAAAGCGGGCATAAAATGTTTTCAATAGACAAATAAAGCACACGCCAAATGTCCTGGAGAACTCTCATTCATACTGAAGGTCAGAGGTCAGTAAGTGACAGCTCCAAGCCAAATCCTCCCCCTCTAGTTGCTACCAAAGGTTCCCGTTAGCAACCTCAGCAACTGAGAGGTGTGACTATTCTGTACCTGGCAGTGGGATATGGCAACGAACAATCACCAGACTCAGATTCAGTATTCGCCGTAGATGTGTGGCAAAAACTCTTTGCTGAGCAGGGCCAAAAAAGTCTCTCATTGGTGTTACTAGGCCATATTGTAAGTCGGGCTAATTTTTTTGCCAAGCTGACAGACCTGTGTCAGAGCTCTACTACTTCAGATTGTAGGAGAGGGTTCAAATAACTTAAAGCTCCTCCATACAGGTATTTCCTCAACACAGAGTACTAGACGTCGGGGAGAAAGGCTGGAGCCTCAACACATTGTTTCCCCATGTTTACAATTTGCCCCGGACTAGTAACTGGGAGACCCAGGTTAGAATTCCCACTCGTACCATGACGCTCGGTGACCTTGAGCCAGTCACACTCTCGCAGCCTGACCTACCTCATGGGATTGTTACCAGGCTAAACTGGAGGAGAGGAGAATGATGTAAGCCGCTTTGGGTCCCCAGTATTTAAATAAATAAAGACCGATTTCCCACAAGCCGCTGCTCCACCCTCACTCTTCCCTTTCCCCTGATCGTCAATTTCCCACTATTTGCTGCGTGGCCGCATTTTGAACCGCAGTTTTGGCCAATTTCTCCCGCATCTTCTCGATCCCGTTTTTTGAGGATCGAGAAGACGTGGGAGAAATCGGCCGAAGCTGCAGGTCAAAATGCGGCCGTGCAGCAAATAGTGGGAAACTGACGCATACAATTGAGGGAAAGGGAAGAGCGAGGGCAGAGCAGTGGCTTGTGGGAAATTGGTCAAATACTATGGGGGGAAAGATTCCAGCGGCTTCGCTCTTACCTACCATCATAAGTGGTAAAGTCAAGAGAACAGGCTCCCGTCTCTCAATGGCAACTAAGCCTTTGTGCAGATGACTCTATTCCCAGAGCTGCTCACTATCTTAAGCAATGATTTGCAAAATATTAATTGCATTTACAGTTATGGCACATGCCAACTGGCAGGCCGAGAAATCATTGCCCCACCACCATACTGGCATAAAGTAAGGATGCCCAGTCCAATGGGGGAAAGGAGAGGGGTACAGACCCAGGTGCCCCAGTACCTCCTCCCATTACATCAGTATTTCCACCAGCTATGTTTTTGACTGGGTTGATCAGTTTTTGTTCTGATGCTCACAACCTGTTTATTTAAAGTAGGCTATTCCACAGGGTTGATTTACCGTTGAAAAACGGAACCTAAAATAAATTGCAGCCCCGTTCCTTCAGAATTACCGGAAAGAAAACGTCATCTCTCGACATCTTGAGCCTGTTGCGGTACTGCTCAAAGTCTGCACTCCTAACTTTGGGATTGCATTCTCACTGAAGACTTCAGGTTTAGCTCTTGCTTCCACTTCAAAGCAACGTAGCTACTAACAAGTACCAGATGGTTTGGGTAAATTAAAGGCAGTCTCAAGTGGCGGTGATCATATCAATCCTGGATGCACCTTAATTACACCAACTCTAATTGTTTTCATGGTCAGAAGAAGAAAGCTTTTTTTTCCCCCCCAGACACACTAGACCTTGCTTTCTATGGAGATGGCCATACCCATGAAGCAAGATGTGACCAGTGGTTCAGGTGGTAGATTTGGCATTAGGTGTGGCAGAGCTGGAGATATAATGAACTGACAACAGAACATGATCTGTTGGGATATTGGGCCTGTGTAAACCCTACTGAAACAAAGAGAAGCTGTAGTCCATGTTAGTTAATAGAAAGGGGAGTGCTCTTTTCCACATCAACCACCACATTGGTTACGCTAGTTCTCAAGGAACTTTGTGCTTCACGGCACCACAAGTCATGTCCTTTAGTCCAAAACTCTAATGGATCTCACACTCAAAGAGCATGATATCGTTTAGGTTCTCCTTCAGTAGCAGGGGTAAGCCCATGCAGGTATGAAGATATGCCTAGCCATGAAACTTCTGTGAGAAGCTCTTGTCTATGCAGGAACGTTAAGTGCTTTAGAGATCTGTGCAGGCAAACAGATGCTAGTCCTGTCACACCAGCATTTAGAACTCCTCCACAAGATCACATCACCAAATTCATAGTACAGTATTTTCTCAGGAAGATCTCTTCCCGTGAGGATTCAGTAATGTCTTCAGAAATTACACGTAAAGTAAGTTAAAAGCAATGATACAGGTATAGTATCTTAGTCCTAACTGAATTAATATGAATTAAACCGATGCTTTATAGGATAGTTACGGCCAGTTCATTGTGCTATTTTAGAGTGTATCCTAGAACATATACCGTACTCCTCCACGAATTAAAAGGGGAGAACCATCTTTCTTAGAACTTTCTATACCATTATTTATCTAAGCTTCCCCCATTGCCCAGAATTTATGGTGCTGCAGGACTCCAAGACATCAATGCCATCATTACCAGTGCTAACAGAGCCTCAACACCTTACAACATTATGAATACAACATTATTGTACTTGCATCCCTTCCGTCACTACTGAATAAAAAATGAACAAAATATCCCAACCCTGGAGATATCCCTCCTGGAAGACATCAGCTGAGCCTACTCTGTCAATCTTCCGCCAGGGCAGAGAAACTTTAGGCTATAGACTCAATAACTTCACCTACAAAAGCAGTCACTTAATATGCAGATGGTGACACAGAAAACTATGCGTGGGAACAGGGGATCAGGAGGGGCTGTGGCTCGGCAACGGAACATACACTTTGCGGGCAGAAGGTCCCTGGTTCCGTCACTAGCACCTCCGATGCAAGGATTTCAGGTAGGAATTGTTGGGAAAGAAAAATCTGCCTGAAACCCAGGAGAGCGGCTGTCCGTCAGAGGCAGATGATATGGGCCAGACAGATCATGATTTGACTTGGTGGGAGGCGAATTCATACCTTCAAATGATTGCACAGAAGGCAAAGACAGGCTCAACGAGACATTGAGCAATCACCGTTATGCTAAGGGCTGTAATTCTGTCTCCTGTGTTAGTTGTCCAACTCAACACCTCTCCTTCCTCCATGTCCCCTTCTTCACCACAGCCTCTGCTCAAAACCACTCTTTTCAAGCAACTATGATACAGAACTAAGTATATGCATATACAGGGGTCATTTCCTGCAGGAGCGCACAGGAGCGGAGCTCCGGCAGTAAAGAGCCGAGGGGGCGGGCACATGCAACAAGCCCCACCCCCTGCTCTCAGCAGCCCTCAGTCAGAGCAAGAATTAGCCAGGTAAGTTGCAGAGCCCCCCCTCCCCGGTCCAAAACAGTCCAGTGGCACCTTTAAGACCCAGTTTTATTCAGGTACAAGCTCTCCCTCCTCTGCGAGGACAGATCTGCACATTCCCCCCCCCACTAGCTAGCAATCCAAAACAGTCCAGTGGAGCCTGAGCAGTGGGTGTTGCCTTCTGACACACTTCCGGTGACGTCAGGGGGTGTGGCATATGCAAATAAGTTATGCTAATGAGATATGTTAATGAGCTCCTGCACCTCTTTTTCTACCAAATGACCCCTGGGCATATACAATCTTATTTGTACAAATATGCCCTGAATGTGCAAGGGGGCATTTTCTAACTACAGAAACTAGAGGTTATATGAATCCTGCTATTAGTTGTGATAGCTCTGGTACATGAAGATGCGTTATGGAGAGTCAGAAGCATTGGTCCATCAATCTCAGCACTCCCTCCTCTGGCTCCAAAACAAAGTCTTTCCTGGTTTTACTACTAGAGACACTTGAAGAAAAATTCTTTGCACTGATATGGAAGACGATGTATACAATTTACATACTCAAGCACAATATTTAGCATTGCAACATACAACTTTGTGACCTGTCTGCCACAGCTGAGGAGGCCTTCTCAAAGTTGCTGCAGTAGAATCATGCTTAGTTACTTCCCCTGGCAACACATGATTTCTACAGAGGACTGTGATTCTCAGTGCAGTTTGCCCCAATAATGCTGCTTGGGAAAATGCTTGCAATGTTTTATTTCTATAGAGAGAAGTCTCCAGCTTCAAGAGATGGACAAATATCTCACAGACAATATAATGTAATCTGACCCACTTGTCATTGGTCAGAAGGGTATTTACTCCTGTTTCAGAGAAAGTGATTGTTCCAATTGTAGCACATCTAGAAACATCCAGATATTGCCAGATGTACCTACTTCTGTTGGCGTATATCAGGTTAGAATGTTTACGTCCTCTCTGATAAATGCAGTCACAGGACGAAGCTTCCAAAAAGCAGAAGCTGAAGTTCCTTGTTCAGACTCCTGGCACAAGGTCCTTGTGGCATTTTTAACTGGCCGAGTTTGGCACTAAAATAGCAGTGAGGTCCATGGGCAAGATCTGCAGATGCTGCTTGTCCCTTAGAGCACAGGCACAAGAGGCATGGCCATTTCAGAGGGAAGACACGAATGGCGAGATATTAATGCAAAGTACTTGGGAAAAGAGCTAAGCCCATATGAATAAGATTGACCTTATACAAGCTGCTAAAATTTACACACCAAGTTGCTTTTAAGACTGGGGCAGAATAAGTGTCATGAAAGCAGTGCGAGGGCTTCATGAAAAATGCTTGTTAACCAAAACGTGGCAGGATGAGATGGGACGTGTGTTACCAGCATTATGAAGGAGGGGACACTGAGCGCCACGTGCATCGTCTGATCAAGCAGCCTGGTGAGAAGCACACCCGTGTCACAACAGGAAGTGCTGGTTTTAAGGCTTCCCCAAGAAGAGTCTTACCTGCAAACATATGGCTAGGTTAACTCGGCAGCCGAACGACGTGCTGACAGCCCGGGGGTGGAGGCCCAGATCTTTGAAAAGCTTCGAAAAAGATTGCGTCAGGGCGATTCGAGGCCGTTCTTCTGCCACCACCACACATGTCCGTACCCTTGAGAGGTCCAGTCCTCTTTGCTAGAAATGACATGAGAAGTTACTCCCCCCCGGATAAGGTAACAACAGCTGGGTGATTTCAGGCCCGCTCAGAAGTCTCACAACTTTATATTTTACAGAAAGTCAGCACAAGGTCAAAATGGAAGACTGCTGAAGAGCACACAGCAGAAGAGCAAGGCTGCTTGTGGCAAAGGAGGGGGAAACGCCAATTTATCAGCAAACAACGGCAGCTAAATTACTATTTAGTGAGGATGTGAGGCTCACCACATTAGCACATCTTCTAAACATCCACCTATATCCCAAATGGTTATTTATGAATGCATTATTTTATTAAAGACTTATACCCCACTTTTCCTTTAAGTAGCTTATATACAGCTCCCTAGATAATCTCCAGGAGGGAAGGCAGCATGGTATAGTCTTATCTTGTCAGATTACATGTCAACACTACGGAAAGTGGTACTATATATATAGGGGACAGACAGAGAGGAAACCGGCCTGGCTCACCTTCAGAGATTCTGTTTGCGAACCAAGCCCCTTGGTACAAAGCTCCATGACTGAGTAAGAGCAAAAAGTATCTCTCACTTTGTACTGACTCACGGCCAAGAGCCAGAGCGCAGGTGTGGTCTCCAGTTCTGAGGGAGGAATCAAAATAGACTGGTGCCCTGAATAAACGCTGCAAAGATATAAGATTTGTTAACACACAACTGGAAACCTGCTTTTAGAAGACTGCAAATGGAAAGGGAGCTGTTTGCGGCAGCCACAGCTGCCTAATCCTGTACCTTGCACAGGGCAGAACTAAATGGCTGAGCAAGCGCGTGGGGGCCACGACGAATTGCCCATGTGGAGGCCATCCTACCGGGGCAGTGACTCATCTGTAGCAGGGAGAACAGTGAGCCGAGGACAGAAGGTCCTGCACGATGAGCCACTATCCCAGATGCCTTATGGAATGGCCTCCACTTGAGTAAGACAGCACAGCTACGATGTATATGACAAACCAAGGTTTGCTATTCCTTGAAATACTCATGGTGTGTGTGGTGTGTAACCTCAGGCTTATGGATTCCCTCCTCTTTTCATTCATGCAGCTCAAAAATGTGAGTGCTTATGTAGCAAACGAGCTCCTCAAGGAGGAGATGGAGCAAGTGCTCAGGCCTGAGGATCCCCACGTCTGTTCACACAGCGACCACCCGGGATTTGTTGCCACACCTAAGTCCCACCATGGTGCCTTGGACAACCCTGCAAACATATCATACGCTGAAGTTCTTCCCTTTGCTACATCCAGGTAACTTATATAATGACATGGAAATCTGGGCAAAATATAGGTCAAATCATATTGCCAAATTTTGTCCCAGCTTGACTGTATCTATCAACAGAAAGCTTGCTATTTGCCAAGATCAGCTACTCTTCTCTTATAAATTATCCTTACTACATGAATTCTTAGGACTAGTTCCTATATGCATGCTTATTATCTGATGAGCGCAACATCCAGTGATGAGATGCATGTTTGAATGTTCAATCACAGCAAAGATATCATATTGAGAAGGACTCTGGAAAGGCAGCATATACCTCATGAATGCAATGTTTTTCAATGGAGTCTATAAATTGTGTATGTATGCATCAACAAGGTATACATTATTAAACTCTAGTAAGTTCAGGATTAGACTGAGATGGTAAAATGGTCCAAGAACAAGCCAGCGGGTATAGTAGGAAAAAATAAATGACTCAACATTGATAACTTCCCCTGTAAGTTAAATTCCCAATCTTCCCTGTGTACGTCCACATGAGAATGAGTCTTTATTTGGACAACAGGAAGAAAGCTTATAACTACTTCATCAACCTGTCAAGTGAACTGGCCTCAAGTTACTAATAAGAAAGTTTTAGTAGAGATATATGACAGCACATCGAGAAGAGAATTTATACCCCGCCCTTCACTACTTGAAGGAGTCTCAGAGCGGCTTACAATCTCCTTCCCCTCCCCACAACAGACACCCTGTGAGGTAGGTGGGGCTAAGAGAGCTCTTTCGAGGACTGCTCGTGAGAGAACAGCTATGAAAGAACTGTGACTGACCCAAGGTCACACCAGCAGCTGCACATGGAGGAGTGGGGAATCAAACCCGGTTCTCCCAGATTAGAGTCCACGCTCCTAACCGCTACACCAAACTGGCTCTAGATCAAGATCCTAGGCTGTAGTTGGGATGGGGGGGGGGGAGATAAGCCATGAACAAAGCTGCTAGATATGATTTTAATATAACAGCCATTTTTAAATCTTGCCTCTCCAGTTCAGCACGTAAGCTTATAAAAGGGAAGATGTGCTGCCTAGGTAATTAGCTGTAATTTTAGGTCAAAAATAAAAAGAATTTGAAAGCAATCACTGAAAGACGAGGAGCAACGAAAACACACACAAAAAGCCACATTGTTCATGAACTTCAGCGCAAATGGTGAAAAGGAAAAACATGCATGTATCCATGAACTCACGTTGTGGCCTGATGACTTTTGCTATGTCCAGAATGCATCAATCTTTGACAAAGATCCCCAGGAAATCCTGCTGGAGCGTGTGGCCGATTGATAGGAATCTGGAGAATTTTCAATAGAGGCCTATTGCTCTGCTTTGCAAGGTTTCTTTTCATTATTATTTTATACCCTTTGGGACATAAAATAAAAACAAAACAAAAAACTTTGCAAAACCATGCAATATACTCAAGACTTACCAATAGGCCGGCTCCATGCTCCAAGTAGGTTTTCCTTAGCGGTTTGGAAGTCTCAGAATGGTGCATTCTGGGACATCACAGGGGAGTAGACCACCACAACTCCACAGAATCTACAATACAGACAAGTGATTCAGTTGCTTTGGCTGAGATTGTGATTCCTCAGTCGACTGGGATCCAGGATTAATCCTGATTCTGCTGTGGCAGTTGACCAATGGCAACAATATTGATCCCTGTTGTCCAAGGGATCATTTCCCTTGATTTAGATTTCTTTACACGATCAAGAGGCTAATCAGAAACCACAGACATAACAGACAGGGTCAAGGGTGTTTATATGTAAGAGGAAAGTGTGGCTTGTTTTTTGGAGATGCAGAGGTGAATGGAGCTGAGAATTCCTTATAAGTCAGTGTAGGCCCAAGTCTCTTAAAACCAAATCACCGTTTGGCCAGTGGGACCTTGTCTTAGGCTCCCAAACTTCCTCTTCTCCTTATGTGCTCTGGTTCCTTCTGTCATATTTTGGCTTGCTGCAACAAAAGTTCATTGTACTAACCAGGGTTAGTCCAAAAACTGTCTTAGCACCAGAAGCAGAAGCCAACTTCGAAGCAGGCTTTCAACTATGGGTGAATGCAAACTGTGGTAAGAGATGGAGTATTCAACTATGGGTGAATGCAAACTGTGGTGAGAGATGGAACACACAAGGGAAGGACGTGTGGCCCCGGCAACCAACCCCTGGCTTGGCTAAGATGCCCGAACCAGGCTACTGACTCGTGAATGACCCCAGGCTGTAAGTAAGTGTGCAGATAACACACTTGTGTATTCTCATCCGTTAAATGGATTAAACCTGGAGAGAACACATGGTCTCCTTGCGACAGGGAAACCCCTGCTGTCTTCACAGCTATCTATAAGAATCAACTAGGACCATGCTAGCAGGGAAGGAAGAAGGGAAGACTCAGCTACTGAGCTAGCAGCACCTGAATACCATCTGGGCTGAGTATGTCGTAGGTACTTAAGCCTGAGTGTGACTAGACGTGTGAGCCCATCTCTTGGCCCTACTTAGCCAGTGGCTCGCAGCATGCATTGCCCAGGCCAATGAATTTGGTCCCACCTAGGATGTGATTGTTTCTGCTTTGTTTTGTTTATTTTAGTTGTCTTATATAAATTGGCTACCTTGTATTTTGGACATTTTTGTAAGCCACTTTGGGTTTCCTATGGGGAGAAGACACAGAAATACTGTGTCGCCCCTGAATGAGAACACTAATATTTAGGAGGAAGGCGCCGGCACTTCCCGTTGTCTGGAGCCTTCTGGGCCATGTACACCGTAAGATCCTTGGAGAATGGATGGATTAAAAACGAGTTGCTTAATTTTTAACTATTTGTATTTGTTGGTGTATTGAACCATATTTTCTTGAAAGTCACCTTGAGCACGTTTCCTGGAATGGCAGCACAGAGATGTTCTACATGAGTAAATCAATAAAATCTAATTAAAATAAACCAACTATGCTCCAGTGACCATCTTGTTGTCTTGGTATGAGTTTACCTTTTCCTCCTTATAGACCATTCTCTCTTCTCTGACAAGCCTGTTGATCATGTAATCTTGGGGGATGCTTTGTTTTGTTTGTTTAAAGCGTGACATTTTAGCTGGTCGCAACACCTGACAGGTGAGAGAGAAGGAGAGGGACTTACCTACAGAGGCACCAAAGGACAAACCCGAGTCCACAGTAAGGGTCCAAACAGATAGCAACTTCTCTAGAAGGATAAAGCTCACACTGCAGCTTAATAGAACGACAAAAGGCACTAGTGGCTGCATGAGACATCTGGAAGAAGATAACAGGACAGTAATTATTATGATTAAGTGTGTCGTGCTATAGGCTCATTCTTGAACTGCTGCCAGCCCTCAAGCCAGCCACAGGATAGATAGCAATAAGAGTCAGCTCCACTCCCCTACCCCCATCCTGCCTCAAAAACACACACAATTATTTATAAATGATGAAAATTAATATGCTTCCCAAGGAGGATATTCAAACAACCGTGAGGGGCAGTCAAAACGAGGGTGACTCATCGGGAACGCCGATTTCTACTTTATCATCAGGAACAGTTAGAAATTTATGTGCGGGTCCAAAGATAACAGGTTATAGCTTTCTTTTTTTTAAGCCAAAAGAATATCGGGGGTGGGAGAACAGCCATTGCTTAGTGGCAGAGCCTTTGCTTTCATCCTTTCAGATTCACCTCCAGTTACAGGGTCTTTCAGATGTGGAAACTGAGAAAGACTCCCTGCCCAGCTCATTGGAAAGCCTCCTCCAGCCAGAGCTGGTAATACGGGAATTAGAGGGGCCACAAAACGCACAGAGAGCACAAGTGACAGAATTGTATAAATTTCACATTTCTAATGAATATCATAAACCTTAGGACCTCACATGATGCCCTTTTTACACTAAGGTATGAAAAAACGGAAGAGGAGGAGAAGAAGGAGGAGGAGGAGATTGGATTTATACCGTGCCCTTCACTTGGAGTCTCAGAGCGGTTTACAATCTCCTTTCCCATCCCCTCCCCACAACAGACACCCTGTGAGGTAGGTGGGGCTGAGAGAGCTCTCTCCAGAGCTGGCCTTTCAAGGACAGCTCTTGTCAGAACTATGGCTTGCCCAAGGTCATCCAGCAGCTGCGAGTGGAGGAGTGGGGAATCAAACCCGGTTCTCCCAGATTAAGAGTCCGTGCACTTAACCACTACACCAAACACATGCGAGGCAAGGAATCCTTTTAAATATTGACTTTGTTTTGTCTGGGCACACAGCTGCATAGGTAAAATGCGTGAGAGAATTTGGGTTTCCTCGATACAGACGCTTTGGACTTTGGGGCAGTGTGAACAGAGTTTCAAGTACCTGTACTTGCTTTCGTCTGGTCACGTTTCTCTACATATAACATACATCCCCAGCTTTGATTCTCACATGGCAACATTTAGTTCTGCGGCTGAATCCCTACCTTCACCCCGGCTAGCATTCCAGTCGTCGATACACTGAAATCCAGGTAAGCCAGCATGTCAGGGTTAGAAGGTTTGTAGATCTGAGGAGGCCGTTTCTTTGGCAAATCATCTGGGGAGGGGGAAAGAACGGAGGTGCGATTCAGCTGCTGTCACTAAGACACAGTGACATTTCAAAACAAGATGTAGCCACGGACAGAGGAAAATGGCCCGTACCTGTGTCTAATATGGGGGGCCACGTTCTGACATCCACGGCGGCAGCTGCCTCTCGCGACCTCAGCAATTTACATATCAACTGCGTCGTCATTAAACAGGCAGAGCGACTCACCTGAGAGTTTTGGAACAGAAAATGTGATAGGAGGTCCAAACTACCCAACGTAAAAATGGTTCCAGCACCATCTCTTTTTAACCACCAGCTTGTTTTAAACGCTCCTTCAGTTAGCATGCTGAACACACACTTTTGAAAAGATCAAAGAAATACAATACAATGTATGGACATATTCTTCCTCAGCGGTGGCAGCTCTGGATTATATTCAGGGGTCATTTCCTGTGGGAGCGCACTGGAGCGGAGCTCCGGCAGTAAAGAACCCAGGGGGTGGGCACATGTAGCAAGCCCCACCCTCTGCTCCCAGCAGCCCTCAGTCAGAGCAAGAAGCAGCCAGGTAAGCTACAGAGACCCTCCCCCCCCGGCCCCAAACAGTCCAGTGGCACCTTTAAGACCAGGTTTTATTCAGGTAGAAGCTCTCCCTCCTCTGCAAGGACAGATCTGCACGTTCCCCCCCCATAGCTAGCAATCCAAAACAGTCCAGTGGAGCCTGAGCGGTGGGTGTTGCCTTCTGACACACTTCCGGTGATGTCAGGGGTGTGTGGCATATGCAAATAAGTTATGCTAATGAGCTCCTTTTCTACAAAATGACCCCTGATTTATATTAACCCACATTATTTGCTTCATGGATTATTTACTTCATATGTATACCCCACCTTTTCCCCCAAAGGGGACCCAAAGCGGCTTCCATCGTTCTCTTACTCCCCCCACTGTAGCCTCACACCCACCTTATGAGGCAGGTGGGGCTGAGCGTGTGTGTCTGGCCCAAGGTCACCCAACCAGCTTCCAGGGCGGAGTGGGGATTTGAGCCTGGGTCTCTTCTCAGGCCCTAGTCTGACCCTCCAGCCCCCACGCCACGCTGGCTCTCCACATGACGGCCAGTTCACTTCCGGTGATGTCAGGGGTGTGTGGAGTAGTAGTTGGTTTTATACCCTGTCTTTCACTACCTGAAGGTGACTCAGACCACCTTACAATAATGGCCCAAGGTCACCCAACCAGCTTCCAGGGCGGAGTGGGGATTTGAGCCTGGGTCTCTTCTCAGGCCCTAGTCTGACCCTCCAGCCCCCACGCCACGCTGGCTCTCCACATGACGGCCAGTTCTCAACCAGTTCAGCATCCGCAAGGCAGCTTTCGCCCTGTGCGAGTCACAGACCAGCTCCTGCCTACATGTCCCAGTTGCATACTGCTTTGGACTGAAAGGAATTTCAAAAGCAGTTTATGATTGGCATGAGGAGGAGGAGGAGAAGAAGAGGAGGAGGAGGAGGAGTTGGTTTTATACCCTGTCTTTCACTACCCGAAGGTGACTCAGAGCAGCTTACAATAACCTTCCCTTACTCTCCCCACAACAGACACCGTGTGAGGCAGGTGGGGCTGAGCGAGCTCTGAGAGAGCTGTGACTGACCCAAGGTCACCCAGCTGGCTTTATGTGCCACGGTCATCACCATCCACCACTGCACCAAACTGGCTGAAGGGAGGGGGGAACTAGTCCGTAATCCCACTGGGCTCCCTGGATCCCTGTCACATAAAAAAATTCCTTTGTATATTAATGGCTGACCTCCACAATCATCTTCACTGTAGGCAACGTCGTTGCAATGTTTTGTGGATGCGGAGGTCGAACTGTTATCGGCACACAGCCTGCGTACAAACACCCGTAAAATGCAGCGATCAGATCTATCCCTGCACGGTGAATTAAAAAGAGAGAGAGAAAGAGATTTTCGAACTTGAAGGGGGGAAAGTAAAAGTTTAAATTCAATCACAGATACCTGGAGACTGGCATAAGCGCTACTTTTGAAATTAGCAAAATGAAATTAGCAGCAAGAGTCTTGAGCAAACTCCTTTTTCAATTGGGGTTTGTTAAGCTTCGCTGATCGTTTTCATTTCAGATGTTCTTTTAGGCATGAATGTATCAAAGAAAGCTGTTGGGCCTAAACCTGATGCTGTCATTCTCAAGAGCGGCTTTAATTTTCGGATAGCTAATATTTATGAGCTACACACTGGAGAGGAGAAACACGTACAAATAAATCATTGCAACCATGATTCTTTGCTTTAAGATTATTTTGCATTTGGTGTTACACTAAAAAAGAAAAAAGAAAAAAACCCAAAAGAGTATCAAAGAGTCAACCTGTGAGATTAAAGAAAACAACCATAATGAAGTTTTACTCGGGGAAAATAAGTCCTTGCTTATCAACTCGTGCCAGGGTTTTTTTTATACTGCACTTTTCTCTACCTTAAGGAGCCTCAAATCAGCTTACAACCACCTCCCCTTCCTCTCATCACAACAGTCACCCTGTAAGGTAGGTGGGGTTGAGAGAGAGTTCTGAGAGAACTGTGACTGGCCCAAGGTCACCCAGCAGGCCTCATGTGGAAGAGTGGGGAATCAAACCCGGTTCTCCAGATTAGCATACGCCACTCTTAACCACGATACCATGCTGGCTCTATCTATGACAACAACAACAACAACAATATATCATTACTATCACATAACTGTGTGTGTATGCCCATTTAGCCCTGATGCCTGCTTTTCCCATGCAATCCATTCACTTAGGGAACTGAGGGTGGTCTACACTTCTCAGACAAACTGAGGTAATCGTCTCACACTCGCCAAATAAGGGGAAACCTCCATTGCTTTTTAACAGCTTTGCTATTATGCAGCACTTTGTGAAGATACAGGGTGCTGCTGAGTGACCGCAAGTTCAACTTGGGTTGCAGCCCTAAACTTTTAAGGGAACCTAGAGGCAGCCATTGATCGTCATTACAGAAATCTACTTTAATTTAATTTAATCATGGCTAAAACTTGATTTCTACAAGACTTCAGCATGGTTACCTTAAATCCTGTTAGTGAAACACAGCTAACTGGGACAGAATTAAGTTCAGTGGGATTTGTTTTCAAGCAAATATGCACAAGCATACACTTCGCCTTCTAGGAGTATAAAAACACAGGCGCAATTCCTACATAAGTACAGCCTCAAAGTATGCATCACCCCATCCCCCCCCCCTAGTTTTTGGCTTGCTAAAGTCATCACCATAAACCACTGTTCAGAAGTGAGGTTCTGGGTTAACATAATCTTTCAAATCAATATTATTTATATTGACTAACCTTTGCAGCTACGTTATCTAGTCAAAGTTTATATTTACAATGGCCGAAGACTTCACACACACCCCCAAAGCCTTTACAGTCACCACTGAAAACATATATTTAATGCTGCTTACCTGGAGGGTAGACCAAAGCAACGTGGTCTCCATCTTGCAAGTGGCCCCTTTCCATCAACATAACAGCTATCTTTTCAGCTCGCTTGTGCAGCTGAACGCATGTAAGAGAGTTCGCTATTGTTCCCTGTGTTGAGAAAAAGGCAGAGAGAACTTCAGTCTGCAAATCTGAAGCAAGAATGTTTAAATACTGGGTGTGGGGTTTTTTTGAACTTATTACACTAAAACTTTTCACCCTTTGATCCAAAGCTGGCTCAGTGGAGCAAATGTTATTACACTCCATTCATTCTTCACCCAAAATAAGAGCGCTTTCTGTAACCTTTGAGGAAATTGAAAATCAGGAAATACTGGGAATCAGTAGCGATGCTGAAGTTCTCACTGGGGGGGGATTCAGCAAGACCATCATCATGTTGGCCTCATCCCAAACTTTTGGATCAGGACCAGATCCCTTCAAGGTTTGGGCATGGTTTACAGTGGGCTAGCCATACACAGAGATTTCCCCACTGTTACGTTCTTCTTTTTCCACTCAAACATTGCCCTGACCTGGATAGCCCAGGCAAGCCTGATCTCGTCAGATCTTGGAAGCTAAGCAGGGCCGCCCCTGGCAAGTATTTGGATGGGAGACCTACAGAGAATACCAGGGCTGGGAGGCCAGAGGCAGGCACTTCTCTGAATGTCCTACCTGCTCCAGTAGGAGTCGCCAGAGGTGACCATGACTTCCAGGCACGGGCACACACACAGACACACAAAAATACCCCCCCCCGAAACCCACATTGCAACAGTAGTGGGAAGGGACTCCAAGAGCAGTACTATCTGCTAGTAGGAGCCATAGGAAATGCAGTCCTAACAGTTCCTGGCATCCATCATAGCCAAGAACCAAGGGAATTGTTTTTTCCATGGTTTCTCGTAGCCCTAGATGGTGGTTTATATGCACAGTGACACATACGACCTAATGCACCAAGAACCCTCTATGCTGACATAAGGTACATTTTGGAAAGAGAAGAGGAACTGTCAAACTGATTTCCAGTCCCCATTGTGTTACCCCCCTGTCCTCACCAGAACCGTTGGGTTAAAAGTGATTTAATTTGAAAATAAAATAGCATTAGTCCAGCTGGAGGAGCTCACCCATTACTAATCAGAATCAGCATTTCATCAATATAGGAGCCCCACTGCTTTCTTTTGTACTGGCTCATAATGCAGGCACTGAAGTATTAACATAACAATCTTGAAAAATAAAAGTCTGCTAAGATGAGCGTGTTCCTGGAAACTTCCCTTCATTAACTTGTACATGGAATGAAGCCAGCTGGCAAAAGAATCACTTCAGGAGTTGAATGAAGCAGTGAATGAGAGAGAGAGAGAGACATCAGGAGGACAAGAGGAGGAGCTTGGTTAGCAAAATATTTTCGATCCGGTTTTGCTAGAAATTATTTCAAACTATGGTATGCAAGGGCACACTGCCCTACCTCAAGAAATATATATTTTTTTTAAATCCAAAGTTTTCTGTGAGTTCAAAGTACCTAGCCATAAATGGGGACACGCACTATATTTCTGTTATGATTTATTGCTTTAGCTTTCCTTCTAATCAACCTCCAGTGAATGGGTAAATTCTGCCCCATCTCTATATCTGATGCGACTGGATCAATCATTCCCAAACACACTGTCAGACAGCCAATGTGGCTACTTGTATCTTGGAGATCATTAACTCCATCAGACACTACCAAAATCATAATTCCTGCAAAGATTGCTTCCTTTCTGACAGTTTTTAGAATCAGACATTTCTTTGAGCTTAATAGGTTGTCTTCGACAAACTTCTCCACAAGGAGACAATGCAACAGACTATTGCCATGATCTAGTGGCATGGAGGTGTACATAGCTATGGAGCCAATGCACTGGGCACACTACTTCTTGCCACAAGGCAAGATGGAGATCCAAGGAAGATTGTTACTTTGTGTAACGTTTCACATAAGATCAACAGAAGCTGAGGTATGATTAAATGCTGGGACTGATTTTAGTGCTAGTAGTTATGAGGGGGAGGAGAGGACAGAAGGATTTAGTTCAATGGGATTGGGATCGACTAGTTTTAATGTTAATGAATTGCACTTTATCGTATGTATTGTTTTGTAGGCTGGGTGAGGAATATTGAAGGGAATGGGACTGGAGGTTGCTAGCACTTGTGACATCAGTGTCGGGTCAGGGATCCCAGAAATTGGGGGATGTGGGAGGTATGGCGGTGGGAGAAGACACTGGAAGGGAAGGAGACAGAGATATGGTCATGCTCAGTCTCCTTCCAACCTTTGTCCCATCCCGAGATACGTTGGTGATGGGGTTAGAAAACTAAACCCTTCTCCGACACTGAGGTTGTGTTAACACCAAGTCCATTAATGATAAGACCATAACACTGCAAACTTTTTTGCAGCGCAAGAAGTGGACCTGGTGTGTGTGACCAAAACCTGGGTAACGGAGGGCGAAACAGTCACCTTGAAAGAGCTCCCTCCCCGTTTTTTTGGGTCTTTCCTCAGTCCCAGACTAAGGGTTGAGGGGAGGGGTGGCCATGCTCAACTGAGAGTCATTTTCCTTCAGGGCACTCCCCAACCCAAAGATTCTTGGTATTGATTGTGTTGGCCCGGTTTGGGACACTGAGGAGAGTTTGGCTGTTTGGCTGACGTACCATCTGCCTAGCACACAGTGGACAGCCTGCCGAGCCCGCTGGAGACAGTAGTGGGCTGGGCCTTGGAGTTCCCAAGATTAATAGCCCTCGGAGACTTCAATGTCCATGTTGATGCTGCTGCCTCCTAGCAGACGCCAGACCTGGTGTCTTACATGGCAATACTAGGGCTCTCCCAGATTGTATCAGGCCCCACACATCAAGCGAGCCACACACTGGAGTTGTTTTTTGGCATGAGGATAGATACAGATCTGCTCACTATTGATAAAATGCCATGGTCAGATCATTTTGCCCTGAAGGCCCAGCTGGTTACCCCAACTCCCTCCTGTCTAGGCGGTGAGTAGATTAATGCTCGCTCATGGAGACTAATGTACCCAATAGGGCTCCAGAATCCTATAAAATGCCATGGTCCATGGCGACTCATTAGATGAGCTGACAGAGGACTGGAATACCTGTCTCTCTGAAGCTATCAATAAAATTGCTCCCCAATGCCGTCTTCGCTCTCATCCCAAACTAGCCCCTTGATATACCACAGAGCTTAGGGGGATGAAATGGGAGCTTAGACTAGAGCAAGTTTGGCAACAATTTCATGACGAAGAAGGAGGAGAGATTGGATTTATACCTCGCCCTTCACTTGGGAGTCTCAGAGCGGCTTACAAACTCCTTTCCCTTCTCACAACAGACACCCTGTGAGGTCGGTGGGGCTGAGAGAGCCCTTTCAAGAACTGCCCTTTCAAGGACAGCTCTTGTCAGAATGATGGCTTGCCCAAGGTCATCCAGCAGCTACAAGTGGAGGAGTGGGGAATCAAACCTGGTTGTCCCAGATTAGAGTCCGCGCACTTAACCACTACACCAAACTGGAAGCTACAAGAACATCCTATAGGATGTTTATGAAGTCCTGTGAGATGGTGGTGAAGACAGCTAAACAGAATTTTACTCCATCTCCATTGCATCCACTGGCTCTTGCCCAACTCAGTTATTTGGGATAATTAGGTCCCTGAGTTCCCTCAATGAGAGAACTCAAAATATTAGAAACTTGGCCATCAGCTGTGAGGCAGTTATGAGCTTTCTGTGGATAAAGTCTCACCACTCCGCCATGACCTGCCATTGTATTTAAAATGGATCTAAATGCATTTTATGATAAGTTGTACATCCCCTGAACCCCAATACTTTGGGAGAGGGTGGTCTAGAAATCAAAATTATAAGCAAACAAACAAACAACTGGTAGAGAAGCTTGCACTTGGGCATTATCTGTACTGCAACTTTGCTGAGGACCAAAAATGTCTGCCTCCATCACAGCTGGCATTTTTCACAAGCACTAAAATATATTTTAAAATGTGAGAGTGTCCAAACAATCCAAAAATTAAGAGATTAAACACTGTGTACACTGAAGCACTGATAACAGCATCTAGAAGGCTGGGGAGACACCAGTGTCTCTCTTTCTCCCTTTGTGCCTCCTCTACTGCCACAACCGATCAATTTTATGGTTTTAATTGGGCATGGTTTTAATTTGTTTTTATTGCACCTTGGGAGCTGGCTGAACGGCTGTCTATAAATATAGTTAGTAAGTAAATGGAAGAATGAAGTAAAATAAAATATTGGTTGCTCCAAGTGCAACCATATGCACTCTGGCTGCTCGGAAATGAATTCTTATTCCAGTACAGTGCATCCAGGACAGACTCGAAATTTGTACGACAGTGGTTTCCAGCTCTTACATATTTCATGGAAAATGACCTAGTACCAACCAACCCCAATTACATTGCATGGTTACACTTGTAGGTTTGATAACTTTAGTCTGAGTGCTCCTTTCAAATAAGTAAAATAAGAAAATTTCTAGATCAAAGAACAGCAGTCAAATGTTGAACATTTAAAACGAATCAGCCTATATGCAATGTTTGTAAAAAGTTTAAAGTTAAAAGTACTGTCACCGAAAAGTATTTTTCTCTATTCTCTATTGTTTATTGTAAAAGTATTCTTAATAAAGCAGTTGAAAAAAAATGGAAATGAATTCTTATTCAAAACAAGCATCTCTCGCACACACAACTCTGGAATTAATGTCACTGTTTGTCTTGCAGAGTCAAAGGCTTGTTGAGCAGAAGCTGAGTGGAACATTCTACTACCATGTATTGATTGCTTTTGTGAAGTGCGAATGGCTCAAACACACAGATTTAAGAAGGGCTAAAAAAATCTGACAGAAGATACACGGCAAAGTAAAGATTTGATTTTTTTTTACAGTCTCTACATCAACATTTAATTAAGAAAAATATTGCTGTGTGGCATTCATTTGGCATTAAGTGAATACAAAGTTTCAAAAAAAGACAGGCTGGGGTTTAGAAAGGACAGGAACAGATTAACTCAGGTCCCATTTACTTTGCTCTCCTGAAGTGATACAGTTTGGGGTGAGCCCACCTAACACAATACATTTTTTCTCCAGGTTGGGTTGACAGGTGTAATCTGACAGTTCCATGCTCCGAGCTTTATTCCCATGAACGCGGGAGTCTGATTTGAATTGGGACCATGGTGTCGTACATATTAGATTCCATGTCAAAAATGAAGTCAAATGAGGAGGAAGTTATTGTATTTTATTGTAATGAAATACCGAAAACAGTTAGGCCAAAGGACCCATCAAAACTGACTGCTTTCTTCTCAGCATAATCAGGAAAAATGCCTCAATTAATAGAAAAGCAATTAGACCAAAGAGTTAACCAAAAATTGACAACTTTCTTCTTTTTCTTCTTCATCTTCTTCTTGAGCATATTCAGGAAATACATGATATTTTATACATGGACTGACATCACCAAGAAAACAATATTCAAACAGCACAATTGGTTACAAAAGACAGTGGTAATTTGAGTAATAATCCTCTGATTGGCCAGATATAAAGAAACATATCTACGTCAAACTAAGTGTTTACTTAACCTAACCTAAATGATAATGGGCAAGGATTCTTCCTATCAGACTAAAATCCTATCTGACCCAGACAGTGAAAGGTTTGCCCTAAGAACTACAGAATCATGAACTTTGTACCTATCATGTTGTCTGCTAACAATATCAGACCTACAAGAGGAAAGCCTTCTATATAACAGGCCTTTCTAACATCCTAATAAAATATTACTTAAAGAATAAATCTATAAAAACCAGAGAAATATGAATATGAACTAACAAGAAGGAAAAACCTATATATGAAAATCCTTATATTCCCATTCATACTACAATGGCATGCGGACAGAGGAGGCTTAAGCCTCTCCTGAACCATTTCCTGACCTGAAACTGCCCCAGGAACTGCTATTTGCTCCACTGGGGAAACATAATGTGTAAGTCCACCAATGGGGCAAGAAGTGGCTCTCCAAGGCCATTCCAGGTTTGGAAAATGGCAAAGGAAAGGCCGAAGCTCCTTTCTCCACGCAGCATGGTCCTGTTCTTAAACAGACCACTGTGTACCTGGGAATTAAATTCCAAGCATAAAACTTCCAGACCACATCTTCTGCCTTTGGGACCCAACTGAGTGGAAAGAAGGCATATATGTCTTTGAGATAAATAAATCTTTTGACCTGACCCAGTGCCAAGGAAAAGTTTATTGTGTGACTAGGCCCTGCATCACCTCTCAAACAGATTGTTTAGGTAGAAACAAGGAGCTCTTCCTGCAAGTCAGAAGAATAAGCATTTCCCACAATGAGGAAGGAGCCAGAGTCCCTCCCCCACAAAACTGCATTTTCAAGAACAGTCCCATCCTTGTTTAAACTACCTTCCCCTGCAGGCTCACTAAAAGTCCAAGCGTGGTTTTGCAAGCATTATAAACTCTTTACTAGCTGGACATGGCTCTGTTTTTGGTTATTTTAAAGGGACTTATTTCTCTACTGAATTATTGCTTTAAAGTGTTTCGTGCCCTAAATCCCTGCAAAAAGCTCCCTTAAGCATTCCAAATTAGCATAGGCAAATCTTACCCTACAATTTAGCAGCGTGTAAAGCACATGGTCAGGAGTTGTTTGCGCTCTCCATTGTAAGACCTCTGAGAGAAACAGGAACTAACGGGATGAAAAGAGAGAGAGAGAGAAGAATTAATACAATCTTCTTTTAGCATTTTCAAAGAAGCTGTCCTTTCCCTCCAACTGCACTTGAAGGCAGTTTAAATAATCATAGATAATTGTGGATGAATCAACTAATATACCTAAGTTTGTCCATCAAAAAAGAACACTGATCCCTTGTCCTAAGGGACTTAAGACAGTTTGAAAGCCTGTGAAATATGTCAGCGTGTGTTGATATGAACAAGAAAACACACCCACATTCAACAGATCATTTTGTCTGAACATTCATATTTCTATGAATTATCTGGTCACAACTGCCATTCAAAAGATATTCCATTCCAGTTTTAAAAAGCAAACTCACAACTGTAAAAATGGGGGGGGGGGAGTTACATCCCTTCTGAACATGACACATGAGGCTTAGTAACAAGTGCACAGTGTGCATGTTTTTATATTATTTTCTGGGAACAGAATACTTCTTTGACCATTAGGTGTGCCTCAACTGCGGGAAAGATGTTTGGAACAAGAACATCTTGGTGCTGAATCTCACCCTATGGCTACTATGCCAAATATTTATTTACCGTATTTTTCGGACCATAAGACGCACCTGACCTTAAGACGCACCTAGTTTTTAAAGGAGGAAAACAGGGAAAAAAATATTCTAAACCTTCGGTCCATAAGACGCACTCACTTTTCCTCCCACTTTTTTTGGAAGAAAAAGTGAGTCTTATGGTCCAAAAAATACGGGGTATTTGATTTATTTATTAATTAGATTTATATACCGCCCTCCCCAAATGGGCTCAGGGTGGCTAACAACACAGGCAAATGCCATAACAAACGATTAAAACAGCATTAAAACAATCAATAAATAAAGTGCGGTGCTCTTGATGTTAAATCTTATTACTCCAAGATGGGTTCCATTTATCAACCTAGCCGGACAGCACAAGTTCTTCAGTCATCCAGGCGTCTTCCCAGGACCGGCTCACTTATAGGTCTAAACCACCGTCGAAGATGGCAACTCGGTGGCGGCACAATGACGGTGGCGGCTCCTATGCAAAGGCCTGGCGGAAGAGCTCCGTCTTACAGGCCCTGCGGAACTGTGCCAAGTCCCACAGAGCCCGGATCTCCTCTCGGAGCTCATTCCACCAGACAGGAGCTGCCGCTGAGAAAGCCCTGGCCCTGGTTGCGGCCAACTTGATGTCCTTGGGGCCTGGAACCACCAATAGGTGCTGCGCACCAAGATGTTCTTGTGCTTTTGATGTTTTGTTGTGCAACCACAAAACCTCAAATAGGGTTGTTGCGATGTAACCACAAAACCTCAATCGTCTCACACGTTTGCAGTGGTGTGCCACAAGCTGCATCCTGTGCATGGCCCCACGTGACTGTGGGGCATAAGCCAGCACACACAGGAGATTTCTGGAACTGTCACATGCAGGAATGGTTATCTGAGTGGCCCCAAGTTTATTATCTCTTCATCCTGTTTTTCTTCCAGGAAACCCAAGGCAGGGTACATTGGGTCTATAAGAGTTTCCCATTCAGGCATTGACCAGACTTGGACCTGCTTGACTTCAGCAAGCTTGATGCCTCACAGCTTGACAACAATAGAAACAAAGTTTTTTCTTCTTCTGACAACTGTAGAAGTCAATGACACGAATGTGACACCAACTCTCCTTTAGCATGAAGCCACCCAGGTTCAGGGTGATCCAAAGCAGAACTGGGAACCAAGATCCCACCATGTTTAATAGACCCGATTCCTCCATAAGTGCACTCAGAATTGCAGCCTTAGTAAAGAAGAAGGAGAAGAGTTTGGATTTATACCTGGCCCTTCACTACCCAAGGGAGTCTCAGAGCGGCTTACAAACTCCTTTCCCTTCCCCTCCTCACAACAGACACCCTGTGAGGTAGGTGGGGCTGAGAGAGCTCTTGAGAGAAACTGCTCTTTTTCACGAACAGCTGTGCCAGAACTATGGCTTGCCCAAGGTCATCCAGCAGGTGCAAGTGGAGGAGTGGGGAATCAAACCTGGTTCTCCCGGATTAGAGTCCGTGCACTTAACCACTACACCAAATTGGCTCTCTGCTGGCAGAAAGCTACATTTTACTCTTGCTTTGAGTTTGCTGCCATGTGGCCAAAAAGCACTGTGAATAATCATGTGACAGTCGTAAAGCTGTAATGCCAGGAATATGGATTGTTTCTCACTTTACCTTTCTGGCTTGATCATTATCTTCTATTTGCCCCAAATCTCTGCCACTCGCCTGAGCAATTCTTTTCCCAGAGACCAGATTCCCCACCATCACAGAGGCAGGGCCAATTTCTACAAAACATCAAAAGCACATTTTGCTTTAGTAGAACGAAACTCGAGCAAGTTCTGCAATGTAGAATCCACACTGCCACCTCCTCCCATCCACAGCAATTTTCTATGTATTCTAAATCTTTGCTGCCAGTCTGAAATTTCAGATTAAAATGCTCAGCACGTAAACAGAAGTATTCAATTTGCAGAAGCTGATTGCGCCTGATATTGCTAGAGCATCATTCCATCTTATAGACTTGGAAAATACACCCGATCATGAGCCATTATTTGGCAATATGCAGCTTGCTAGGAAAAATTGGCTTGGAGATGGAGGAAGGCACATCCTAGTATTCACTGCCGGTTATCATGCCAGAGGCTGCCTCTTGGGGTGCTCATTTTAGGAATTTGGGAAGGAATGAACTATTCACACAAAAAGCAGGAGGAAACAGTTAAGTGCTGGGCCAGAATGACTGACCCTTGCTCACTAGCCAGCATACATACCCTTGTAACAGAGAGCAAGCATGTACCTGTGTATAGGCATCAACACAAACATAGTATATCACCACCCCCCCCCCCCCCCAATCTATATATCAATTCATCAGTAGGCAGGGTAGAGCTTGGCTACATGTGGCTCTCACTGTGTGAAACACAGCCAGCCTTTGACTCCTGATAACTCTGAAGGCTTCTGTAGAGAAAAGCTGGAAAGTCTTTCCTTTTGAACTCACAGCAACAGGGGAGGAGATGCCACAGGCCGGCAGGTTAATCATCTCTAGCTATTCAGCTCAGCTAACCTCCTTTAGCAGCTGAGGAACAGGAGAAATTAGCTGAGCAGCATCTCAAAAAACATGTCCAGTTTTTCCTTGTAGATGAGGATTGGAAAACTATTTTAAGCGTTGCTTAAATATTTAGCTGCTGCAATTGCCTGTAAGCGGGTTGGGTTCTGGTCTGTTCAAGACCTTTGGAGTCAAAAGAACAGTAAGATAAGAAATAAAGAAAGCCGAGCAGCACAGTGGTAGGGAAAAGCCTGCTAACCAGTCAAGTCTCCTCGACTCACATCAAGGGCAAGCTTCTCTCCAATTCCTCAGCTGCTAAAATAGTAGCCTTAAAATTGGTCAACCAGCAGAGCCCAAGTGCTTTTTTATGTGGCGAGTTAAAACCACTGCAGGCCCAAAGAAGAAGAAGAGATTGGATTTATACCCCGCCCTTCACTGCCAGAAGGAGTCTTAGAACAACTTACAATCCTTTTCCCTTCCCCTCCCCACAACAGACACCCTGTGAGGTAGGTGGGGCTGAGAGAGCTCTCTCGAGAACTGCCCTTGAAAGAACAGCTCTGAAAGAACTCATGACTGACCTAAGGTCACACCAGCAGCTGCATGCGGAGGAGTGGGGAAATCAAACCCGGTTCTCCCAGATTAGAGTTTGTTGCTCTTAACCACTACTTGGATCTCCATAGGATCAAAATAATTCCCTTGGAAAGAAAACCTTTTATACCTGCTACATGCACAGATAAAAAGCAGAAAATGTGCTATTAAACAAAACATTCCTTAGGAAGATGTTATGCTCACCTGGTTGCTTTTGCCTTGGTTTAGGCAGGTTTGTTACGCAGGTGTGTGGACACATCAACACATTACAGGGATGCAGTGCTCCTTCCAGGAAAAGCTGCTTTGTTTCTGATAAGTGGATTCCACCTAGGGGAGTCTTTGGGAGTGTGTTTGCTGGCACCAGCGCTAAGCAGTAAACCCCAACTTGATGAATACTGTCTATAGCCTAGAAATGGTTTTTCAAAAACAGGTCGGATATTAATGCAGGGATAAAGGGAAAAAAGCAACTAACCAAATGTCTTACCACTGAAAGTTATGCATCTGATTCTTTACTAAATGTCTTTCAACTGTCAAGCCATTTCCTGCCCAGAAAAAGTACTCTCTGAATGTGATTATATTTTATGTTGCAAATGGAAAATTACACCGGTAAATAGCCAGATTGTGAAAGCAGCAGCCTCAGATTTGGTGCATCTTCAGAAACAGAAAAGCATGATAAAACCATTTACTCCGTTCCTTTTCCCTAGGTTACTATGTGTACTGGCCTGCTGCAAGTGCAAACTGTGAGTAATTCCACCATTAATCAAAAGCTGACCCGGATAGCCACGATTTTGTGTTTCACGGTAGAAAGCCCCTTTTAATAATTAAATAGTGCCTTTTTGTTCTTTTTTTTAATAAAAAAACCAATTTAATTTATTGGACTTATCCTTGGCACTGTGCACTTCAAAATGTTAAGGAGCCAAGAGAAGAAAAGGAAAAAGTTCCTGCCTAAATTGTACCAGCTTGATATTTGCGTGTGATGAATTCCCCTGTCGGGGGTGACATTAGCCAGTATTCCAAGAAAACTACAGTACAGGATTCCAAGTCCAGTTAGGTCCTCTACTAAGAAAGCCTACGTAGGAACCTTCCAGTTCAGATGTTATGTGTCCATCCTATTGAATGAGCTGGGCTTCTTTGAACTCTCCGGGATCTCTAAACATCTCAGTTGATCTCTCATAATAAAAGACACCATGATATTCACACTGCCTGGGTGTTTGAAATATTATAGCCTGTCCAACATGACATTGTGTGTAATGCAAAGGAACAGAACCTCAAATGAGTGAAGATTCTTGAGTTTAGTTTCAGCTGGGTTGTCACGTGCAAAGGAACAGAACCTCAAATGAGTGACGATTCTTGTGTTTAGTTTCAGCTGGGTTGCCACGTTGGTCTGCAGTAGCTAAGTCCAGTAGCACCTTGGAGACGTTAGAGAGTTTCAGACTTTCGAGATTCAAAGCACCCTTCGCCAGATAAAAGGCACATATCCGACAAAGGGAGCTTCAGCCACTGAAAATTTATACCCTGAAAATCTATTTGGTCTTTAAGGTGCTACTGGACTTAGATCTTTCTTGAGTTTGTGGGCTCGCCTCTGTTATGAATATCAGAGCCAAGAAATGTTTTATTTTCAGTCCCTTTCCTAATAATTCCTACCAAGGAGTTTACCTTTTTCAGTGCTGCTGCACACTAGGCTGATGTTTTCATTGAGCTTTCCACTAGAACCTCAAGACCTCTTTCGAGGTCAGCCGCAACCAGTTCAGGCCACATCAGCATATAAGGTTTGGCAGAACCTCCGGTGCCTGTTTACTAATCTTTTTCCAGGCATGTACCTGACCACTGAGTGGCACCGTTGGCTAAAAGCTTTTTAACTTCCGAGAAGTCTCTTCAGTATCGTTTAGGGAAAGTAAGTTATTTCCACTAGAAGCCAGAGCCTCTGCCAAGGGCAATTATAAAAGCAAGCCATGAAACACAGGCTACGGTCCCCCCACACACACACACAATAGTCCACTTTCAATGCACTTTCCAACTGGAACTTGCCAGCTCACACAGTAAAATCCAAATGGGGGGGGAAGAAGAAGAAGAAGAAGAAGAAGAAGAAGAAGAGGAAGAGGAAGAAGAAGAGGAAGAAGAGGAAGAAGAGGAAGAAGAGAAAGAAGAGGAAGAAGAGGAAGAGGAGGAGACTGGATTTATACCCCGCCCTTCACTACCCAAAGGTGTCTCAGAGCGGCTTACAAACTCCTTTCCCTTCCCCTCCCCACAACAGACACCCTGTGAGGTAGGTGAGGCTGAGAGAACTCTGACAGAAACTGCTCTTTTTCAAGAACAGCTCTTATCAGAACTATGGCTTGCCCAAGGTCATCCAGCCAGGTGCAAGTGGAGGAGTGGGGAATCAAACCCTGTTCTCCCAGATTAGAGTCCGCGCACTTAACCACTACACCAAACTGGTGTACTGAAAATGGACTGAAAGTGGATTATGTGATGTGTGTGGGACCGCAGCCACAGACAAGGTAACCAACAAAATGCAAACTAGGTGGACAGATTCTTTCTTCATCTAAACACTGTTGGGATCCATTTAGTGATCTATTAAAAAAAGAAGTACTGCGTCCAACTTGGGGGGGGGGTACCATTGTCATGCCCTGCTTGGGGAGCATGAAGGCATCTGGTTACCACCGTGAGAAACAAATGGATGGATCCAAAAAAGGCTCTTATTCTGTTCTTAAAGTGCTACTAACACACATCCCGCCTTCCAGACGAACATTTTAATTGTTGTTTTCATGTCTTCATATGTATTTTAGCTCTAGTTTTAATGGTTTCAAAATATGATTTTATAATGCATATTTAAATGTTTTAGCCACCTTGGTGGCCCTTGTGAGGGCAGAAAGGCGGGATATAAATTCCGTACAAGAAATAAATAAAATAAATTAAAAGTAATGAGTTCCAGAAGGAGTGTTAATCTAGCAAACACAGAGTCCTTCGGCACCTTGAAGGCTAACTGGCAGATTTCTATGACTGAGGCCCAAACAGGCCAGAGAAGACAAGAGGCAGCAATTGGTTCTATCGCTAATATGGGTAAAGCATGTGGGTTTAAGAACACACGAATATTTACTTTGCTATGATTCGCTGGGAAGCCAATGCACACTGCATATCACAGGCAAGTGTGGTCATGTGTGAAGAAGCTCTCGGATGTTATTTAACTAGAGAAATCAATGCACTCGAACGATCATTTGAACCGTTTCATTCACAAAATGAAGTACAGCAACCATGAGGTAATCGTGCAGCCTGGCAAAGATAACATACCAGTGGGAAGACATTCACAGCAGAATCAAACTGCGGGTTTGCACGGCCACAGCTATAAATATATTAATTATCTTTTCTTTATAACTGGAATTTGTTTCCCGAAAGAAGATTTTTAAGGGTATGCAGCAACTTGTAGTGCGGTCCTCTCCCCCGAGCCATGAGGTTCTCTGGGTAATCTTGGATCGGTCCTCTCCCTCAACCTAACTTCACTCAGAGGTTCTTGCGAGGAGAACCATCTGTCTAATGCACTTTCATCCCATCTTTCCTTCAAGGAGCTCAGAGCCGCATTCCCGATTCTCACCTTTTCCATTCTGACCCCTCAACAGCCATGTGGTGGATACACTTAAGACCTGAAAAGTCCTCCATCTTGAAGGGCCTTCTGGAAGCCAAAGAGGGCCAATGACCAGCTACTGAATCATTTTTATGTCATACACTTAACTCCTATAACATCCCTACAGGTCCACTTTACAGTTGCTGCTGCTTTGCATTACAGGTCCACTTTACAGTTGCTGCTGCTGCTTTGCGTCATCTCTTATTTCCCCCATAGCGAGGAAAAACAAATCAGAAATTCTGGCAATGTGTTCCAAAGGGATGAAAAAGAGTAATGCTGTGTGTTGCAGCACATTCAGAGGAGGATAACGCAGGATGAATCGGGCAGCAGTGAGACAGACTGTGTAGGAATATACACTCACAACACACACACACACACAAATGCCAGCAGTCTAAACAATTTAGATTATGCATCTAAGGAAGAGTGAGTGGGGAAGGTGAGAATACGTCACACCACGTGTGGCTCTGGACTTTCAATCTGATTCCGCTGACTGCAAGTTAAGCGACTGTACCTGCAGCACTCTGCTCATCCACTGAAAGCTGTCTTCCTCCGTGGAGTCTGGTCTTTGCTCAGCAACAATAACTATCCTCTCGTCGTGAAGGACGCTCACTGAAAACACTGCTATTCTGTGGAATGTGGAAACCAAAACAGTCACCGTCTAGCAACACGGAGTGTAGAGCAATCTGCATCTCATCAGGCTTTGTGACTCACTACTCATTAGTTATGCAATTGAGAAGACTGGGACTCGCGCTCTCATTTCTTCTAGAAAGAAGACAGCTGCATCAAAACACCTACGTAAGTTTAAAATAGAGCACTGCTGGAAAAATAGCTATTATAAAAGCTAGCTCTTCAGCCCTCCAAAGAGTATCTCACAGCCCATGCAGAAGATTTCTGTCCCCAAGCATGCCTGGAGCGTATTTACCAAAAGATGTGGAGAGAAAAATAAATAATGTTTAGAGCTAGATAACAGCCAAAAACAAATGCTGTCCCAAATTTTGCTGGGACCAGTGGCAGCACGCAAGCTTTGATTTGTCTCCATTTTATTTTGTGTTTACAGTGGCTTTTTTCTGGTAAATACAGGCAGCCAGAAACGAAAGCTTACACTGCAAAGAACAACGTAAATACAGGCAGCCAGAAACGAAAGCTTGCATGGTGTTGCTTTATTCTTCAACAAGAAGTTACGGGAAAGCACCCGAGAACACTTCTAATGCAACAGCAGTGTCACAGCTCAGAGCCTCTTAAAATCTGCTCTGAGAACCAGAAGTGACTATTTCAGAATCCAGTTTACAGGGGCGTGGGAGCAAAGTGAAGCATACCTTCCCCTATAAACAAACTTCATTGGTTCCACAGCCAGCGCTGTGGCTACGATGTCATCTGCATTGTGCCGCCGTCCACTGACAACCATCAGACCATCCATTTTGCCGACAACAAAAACCAGTCCACCTGGGCCAATAAATCCCAGCAATCCAGTTCTTATAAAGGGGTATTCGCTTATTGGTGCACCTGAGCTGGTCATAGGGAAAACCTGCAAGATGCACAGGAGAGGCAAAATTCAGGTGGGTAGCCATGTTGGTCTGAAGCAATAGAACAAAGTTTGAGTCCAGTGGCACCTTTAAGTGCAACAAAGTTTAATTCTGGGTATAAGGTTTCGTGTGCATGCACTTCTACTGAACCGGGGGAGGGGGACCAGGAGATGTGCGGAACGGGGAGGGGGCAGGGCAAAATCAGAGGAGGGGGCATCGCCTACATAGCCCCTGGCTAGCTGCTTTACTTCCACCAGCAGAGCCACACCATCTGTTTTTCAGCTCATCCTTGGTCAATGCCACAACCAGCATACCATGTCAACGTTTCACTCCAGCTTTAAATTATATAAACAGATACACAAATGCTCTCTTTAAAAGTAGGGGCTTAAACTGTGATAACCTCCCTTTATCACTTCTCAATAAACGTTTTCCAAACAGGAGATATTTAGTGTGTCATGGCTGGTATAATGTTTTACTCTTAACAGAGTTCTCACTGCAGTGAGACTCATTACAGCTGCCATCCAGCAAAAAAAAACAAAGACAGATCGACCCTAATTGAATCATTAGCATCACTGGCATCATCCAAAAGCTCTCTGAGAAACTTGAAACACTCAGGAGGGAATGCTTGCTTAACCCCGACTCACCTCAAATGTGTTTTTCGTCATCCCAGAGAGTCCGTAATAGGATGTTCCTGTTGCAATGGCGCATACACAGAGCTCGCCTACTTCGTCTGTTCGACAGAGCTGGGGAACCCCATCGGGCTTCACTGCACACATTATGGCTATTCAGAGAAAAACCAAGAGAATTCTAAATGGAAAATATGGCTTGCAAGTTTTGCAAAAATGTGTGTACATTGCAAATCAAAGGAATCAATATACATTAATTAATATGTAATTATCCTATTACCAAGAAAAATCTACCCTTGTATTATGCGTGTGATGATTGGATAGCTCGTGTCTTCCTGCCATCTTTGAAGTTGCCAATGAAAAAGATACTTTGGACTAGCCTCTTCACAATTTCTACCCTGCTTTTCAAAAACAGCTACCTCATCCCAGTTACCTTGACAACACCCCTCTTCCTGAGAAAGTGTACTTTTTTATTTTTTTGAGTGAGAAGAAGCTTAATGTTATTTATCTGAGGACAGAAAGACATTTCACCCATGTCATCCCGATATTAAAGCTATGAAGAGGAACAAAGGCAGCAGAAAGATTTTAACACGCCCGTCATTAGGGGGGGGGAGATATAAAAAAAGACACAGTATTGTCAGGAAATGAGGAGACGCATTCCAGAACTAGGCTGTACTCTTCATTCCACCACGCTAAAAGTACCTCTTAAAGCTTCTGCTGCTTCCAATCTTGGGCATAAAAATGAAGGCCATATGATTCGTGATGGATTGCAACTGCAGTAAATCCTGCGACAAGCATATGTTTAGCAATGGGAAAGGAGCCAGTGTGACAGAGGGAGAAGGGAAACAGAGCAGAATGCCTTTATAAGTGCAAAGCACACTCGTTTTATCTTCCTTTACATCCACTGAGAAAGGTGCACAAGGTCAGTATTGTACCCTACTTTATATTAGGTAGGACTGCAGAGTCATATATAGGCAGACACACACGGGAAGGAGGAGGAGGAGGAGGAAGAAGAGTTGGATTTATACCCTGCCCCTCACTCAGGGGGGCTAACATTCTCCTTCCCTTCTTCTCCCCACAACAGACACCCCGTGAAACAGGTGGGACTGAGAAAGCTCTGAGAGAACTGCTCTTGAGAGGGAAGCTCTGACAGAACTATGGCTTGCCCAAGGTCATCCAGTAGCTGCAAGTAGAGGCATGGGGAATCAAACCCGGTTCTCCAGATTAGAGTCCGCCCCTCTTAACCGCTACACCGAACTGGCTCATAGGAAACAAAACATTGGGAAGAAACCCTTAACCTGTTTTCAAATAAGGATTACAAATCAATGTCTCCCACTTTGTCTTTGTTTTATTATAGGCTTTTTGAACAAAAACTTCCCTTTGCACAAAAGGAATTTAAGTTTCATGTCATGTTTGGCAGTTCAGACTAAGGGCATCAAGTTCGAAAGTTACTGCAGCCTGCCTAGAACATTAACTCTTCAAATAACTGCATACATGAATTTAACTGAGAGATGGTAGCAACAGGACCTTGGAGGAAATGTAACAAACAAATCAGACAGATCCTGGAGGAAAAG